ATGAGGGAGAAATTGCTGTTGAAGGAATCTGGTCCATAGTAACATGTAATCAGGTCTGCCTGATCAATCTGATCAATATCTACTCCCTGATTGTTTACCTTCGATAACCGCAATCCAGCTAGACACCCACTTCACTCTAATTGCGTTTAACATTTTATCACAAAATCACAAATCATCCTGTTATTTGTCAATTGCCTCAAGCAGGCCCCAGTAACGTCTCCTTCATTCTAGCCCTGAGATTATATTCAAGGCTCTTTAGGAGAATGAGACCCATCATTGTTACTGGTATTTGGCATATTGGGTACGCCATGGGGAGTTTGCCAGACTCTGCCGTGTGGGCAGGCTACATTCGGTAGCCTGCCAGTAACATTTTATAAATCATATTATTTTACTAGTCTTATGTTTTAATAATGTACTATCCCCGCAGTAATATTTGGATTTACAAAAATCCAAAAATATACAAAAGGGTGGAAACTTCCTATTCCTCTTCCTCAACAAATCAGTACCTCTGGCATTGAGGCAACTGAACTAGAAGTTAAGGCAGAGAATGTTTAGATACTCAGAAACCCCATTTTTTTTTTTTCCTGAGTGTACAGGAAGCCATGTTCCAGATTCTTTGACTTGGGCTGGGATGGACAACTGGATCTGTCCATCACTGCATAGTGAAAATTAATGCCTCCAGCCTTGGCCAGCTTTCCTGGTGTTCTCTCTTAAACCATCTTGTTTAATGCTAACGGAGGAGTCAAGAATGATGCCACCCGATAAAGAAGCTCAATTGTTTGACTGACTGCTTGGAAAAAGGGAACCAGACTCTTGGATTCTGTACTGAACTTTTACCTCTGCGAAAAATAAACTTTGGCGTATCCATCCAAATTTCTGGGTTGTTACTTCAGCTAGAGTTAATTATGCCAACATAAAGTTTATGTAGTTTAAGATGTCCCACGTAATAGTTATAAGCAAGCTATTAGTCCCCTAACGATAGACGTGTAGCTTATTTCCAGCTTTTCTCTATTATAATGCTGTTACCAACACCCTAAAGAAGAAGGATTTTAGATGCTCTAAGTTTATATGGGGTGGACTTGAAATGTACAGGCATCCACAAAACATGCTCCACTTCAGCCAGATATTTCCCATTGCTGTTCATTCAGTTTGGGGCTCACTGACCTCTCATGGCACCAGCCGGGATGAACCTGGCCACTACTCTTTGGCTCACAATCCAGTTTGATACAACACTACTTTCTGCACATACCATTTTTTGGGGGGTTTCTCTACAATAACCTCTGTGCCTACCTATTTCTGAAAGGCTCTAAGCGCCTGGCATCCTGGACATTCATTTCCTGGATCTGCCAAAGTTTCAGTTTCTCAACGGGCTCCAGAGGCCTGGCCTGGAAATACGCTTGTATCCCATGGATTTAATTAATGCCAGGCCTGAATACATGTTTCTGCAGAGCACAATTCCAGGCATGAGGCAGGAAGCATAAACCTGTGAGGCATGGGTGTGGCTCCTCTCAGAATCAAAGAGAAAGATGGGAGGGAGCAAAAGTAGCATGAGGATGCTGATGGAAGGCCCTGGGCACTCTGGTCATAGTGTGGTAGAGTAACTGTACATTAAGACCATCAATGGCAACACTTCTGTAAACATGTTACCTCAACTACATTAACAATTAAAAAGGACAACAGCAACAAGAAAAGGGGCTCTGGGGCCTGGAGAGAGAGTACAGCAGATAGGGGATGTGCCTTGCACATGGCCAACCTGGTTTGATCCCTGGAACCCCATATGGTCCCCTGGGCCTTGCCAAGAGTGATCCCTGAGCACAGAGCCAAGAGTATGCCTTGAGCACTGTGGGTGTGGTCCAAAGATCACCCCCCAAAAAGGGAGGGGCTTTGAGGGGCAACAAATTCTTACAACTTTATTTGGTCTTTTGTTGGTTTTTGGCCACATGCAGCGGTGCTCAGTGCTAACTCTTGGCTCTGTGCTCTGGGATCACTCCTGATGGGCTCAGATAATTTTATTAAAAGAGCCCATAAAACCTGAATTTTTAGAACTGTATTACAATTTTTTTGGTTTTGTGCTTAGGGGTCACTACTAGCAGGCTCAAGGGACCATATGGGTTTCTGGAGATAGAACCTGGGTTGGCTGCATGAAAGGCAAGTGCCCTACCCACTGTACTATCGTTCTAGCCTCTCACATCACACTGATTTTAGAGTGACTCTTGGATCAATCCCAATATCTATGATTTGTTTAGATGTTCTAGCTTGAGTCTGATTTTGGGAAGAAATCAAAGTTAAGACAAGGGCTCCTTTGGGAAGGTGAGGGAAACAAAGTCCAGCTCTTTAGGGAAATACACTTTCAAGAAACTTATGTAGGATTGCGTGAACACAATTTTAATTTATACACAATTTTCTTTTTTGCTTTTGCGCCACACCCTCCTGTGCTCAGGGATCACTCTTAGGTGTGCTTAGGGCCACAGTGGTGCTGGGGAATAAACCTAGGGTCCACCACTTGCAAAGCAAATACCTTACCCCCCATGTTAACCCTCTGGATGATTTAACTTCTACCAAGTCACATGTAGAAAGCCCAGGAGACAAGAAAATCATATAACTTAATTTGCAGAGCAAGTTCTGACTCAATTCAACTCTCAACTATGTGCCTGGAGAAGGTAAAATAGATCACACTGGATAATGAATGATAGTGACCCTACCCATCAAGCATCCAGGTCCATTAAGGTCTTCATTTTGTTGGGTTAATGGCAAATTTGGCTGGGGAGGGGATAGCGAGGCATGGAGAAAGGGGGTTGGAATCTGTCTGTCTATACTATTTGGCATATAATTTCAAGAGAAAGAAAACAAAACTTTCCCAAAGACTGTCCACAGTCCATCAGGCCAGTAATTCCAGGCTGAGAACCTCTGGTTTACCTGCTCCTTCTCTTGGTACAAACCTGAGAACTCTACTTTTTTTTTTCTCTTTTTGGATCACACCCGACGATGCTCAGGGGTTACTCCTGGCTGTGCACTCAGGAATCACTCCTAGTGGTGCTCGGGGGATCATATGGGATGCTGGGAATCGAACCCAGGTCAGCTGCATGCAAGGCAAACGCCCTACCGGCTGTGCTATTGCTCCAGCCCGAGAACTCTACTTTTTACCAAACAGCAGAATCCTTCCCCTTTCCTTTCCCAGGTTTCCATGTAGCTCATGACATGTTCCCTTGGAACCAGCCTTGAGTTTGCCTATCTCACTCTCAGACCTAGCCGCCCTCTCTCCCTGCAAGAAGAAAGGTGGCACAGAAGCAAGGGGCGTCACTAGTGTGCTTATATTTTGGAAACCTGCACCTCTGCTGGGGAGGGAGCAGGGGTCCTACTCTCCACTCCCTTTTTTTTTGGTGGTGGTGGGGAACTTACTTCTGGATTTGCACTCAGAAATTACTCTTGGCAGTGCTTGGCAGTGGGAGTGGGAGAAACCAATGGGATGGGGAGGATGGAACCCGGGTCGGTAGTCTGCATGCAAAGCAAACACCAGCTACCTACTGCACTATCGCTGCAGTCCTCTTTAGAGCTCCTACCTTCTGCCTACTGATACCACGCTACCTTCGCAGTATCCGGCACCCAGGCCATTTCCACTAGGCATCCTCCAAGCCCATTCGCAGCTCCTCCAATTTCAGGGCCTTCAGGGCTGGTGGCTATTCCCAGCGGCGCTTGGGCATTGAGCTTCGTACTGGTCATATCAGGGCCTCACTCCCCACCCGAACGAGGGTCACCACGGAAGAACAGCTGCCCTCAGTCCTAGCTTGGTGGACTTTCTCTCTCTCTCTCTCTCTCTCTCTCTCTCTCTCTCTCCAAGGGTCCGAATTTCCCGCATTACTTTTCTTTCTTTTTTTTCTCTCTGAATTGCTGGAGACTACAGACCCAACATGATTACCACTCAATGTCTCTTTTGCAAGCCCGCATTACTTTTCCAAATGTACCTAGGAGATCACAGGAAAATGCGAGGTCCAGGTCAAAGCCCTGGAAGCGGCCCCAAACCACGAGGTTCGAGGTTACACCCTAAAGACCCACACCGCACCCAGGGGACACCGGCAAGCCTTCCGCGGACGCACGCGGTGTCCCGTTCTCGCTCTGGCTCCCACGCCCTTCCCGGCCCCGCACTGACTTCCAAAGCGCCGGGATGCTCACGGTGGAGACGACTTCCGCCCTGCGGGGAGCGTCGCCGCGCGGTGGCCTATCGGTCGCACCGCAGCCCGGAGCCCAAGGCCTTTCGCCCCACTTGGCAGTGGACACACCCCAAGCCCTACCCAGCCGCTCCCTCCGCTTCTGCACACCCTGTCGCGCCGTCTGCACGTCTCGGAGGGGGTGACGGGGTGTGTGTGTTGGGGAAAGACGGTGTCACGCAGTGTGTGTGTGTGTGTGTGTGTGTGTGTGTGTGTGTGTGTGTGTGTGTTGGGGGAAAAAGGGTGTCACGCAGTGACGTCACCATGAAGAAAGGGGCAAAACTGAACAGCGTATTGGCAATGGGGAAAGGACCGGCGCCCCCACGCGAGCGCTCCGAGAGCCCGAGGGCGGGCCTTCTTCGTGACTGACACACGCCTCCACCTATAGCTCTTCTAATTCCTTCTCAAACAGCCCAATGAATGCGACGACGGGGGACGGTAGCGTGCTCCAGCCGGCAGCGGAGGCTCCGCCTCCTCCGCGTGGCCGCCATGCTAAGTGTGGCTCTCCCCGTCCGTGCTTCTTGGAAGGTTCTGCGTCTGACTTACCGACGGCTCTGCTGGGCTCCCGCCTAAGAACTGCCTCACGCTCACCGTCTACCAGCTCTCCCCTTCCTCAGACTTCTTGCCGGCTCGCGCGTCCCGCTGACCCTCTGCAGATGGCGGCCTCGGGGGCGGGGCCGGGGCGGGGCGTGCCCGGCGCGGTGACGTCAGCGCGCTGCGTGCCGGCAGGTGGAGGGAGAAGGGAAAGTTTGGCCCGTGCGTGGGGCGGCTGGGGTGGAGGGCGGGACAGAGGGGCTGGGCCCAGGCGAAGCTCCCCAAGCTGCCGCGGCGGAGGTCGAGGCCGGGGACCCGGAGCCGACCCGGGAGTTGCCCGACCCGGAGGAACCGGAGGCGAGGTTCTGGCCGGAGCGCCGAGCTCCCGCCGCTGTGCCGCGCCGTGACCCCGTGCCCAGGCGCCGTCCGAGCCGTGTCTGTTCCGGAGGCAGTTGGTGGGGGCGCGGCGGCGGCGGCGGCGGCGTTGGGGGTGGGGAGAGGTGCGGCGCGGAGACGAGAGGTCAGCGAGTTTGAGCTCGGGCCGAGAGCTGTGCCGCGGTCATGTCCGAGGAGCCGAGCGCCCTGCCCTGGTCCATCAACCGGGACGACTACGAGCTGCAGGAGGTGATCGGTGAGAGCGGGCGCCCGCTGGGGGCTGGGGAGGGGGTGGGCGGTGCGCGCGGTGCTCCGGGGAGGGGGGGACCCGGGCCGGGGTGGGGGGCTTTGTGGGGCGCGTGGGCGAGGCGAGGCGGGGCGGGGCGGGGTGGGGTTTCGGGGGCTCCCGAGGGAGCTTTGGGGAGAGACGCCCGTTGGAGCCCGAGCGGCCGCCGTGTCTGCGAGAAGGCGGTCCCGGCGCGCGGGGCGGTGGGGTGGGGGTGGGGGGGTCACGGCCGCCGGCTTTGCAGACCTGGGGGGCGGGGGGCGGTCGGGCGGCTCGTCAGTTCTTTCCGGGATCCGCTGGGGCGCTCCAGAGTGCGGCAGGTGAGGCCCCGGGGAGCGGAGACACAACTTCTCGCCTCTTGCAGCAGCCCACCGCCCCCTCGCCGGGCGGGTTGGGGGTGGGGGACCCGGACGACGGGGCCCCGCAGAGTGACGGGCTTCGGCAGGTTCTTGCAGGGCTCTGGGCAAGATGTTGCGATAGAGGATGTTGCCCGGGGGCGGGGGAGGGGGCGAGCGAGGGACGCGCTTTTCCTGCGACGTTGGCGTCCGCTGCGCTGGTAACGCAGAGGCAGGGAATAGGGCTTAAGAGCCACCGGGAACGAGGAAAGGCAGCAGAGGCCACGAGGAGCCCTGGACCTGTCGGAGGACCAGCCGGGGGAGAGAGGTGTCTGCTGGGCCGGATCCCGCAGCTACGCGAGGATTTGAGCACGTTTAAGTGTGGTTGGAGAGTTTCTAGTCCGATGGAGCAGATTTGAAGGGGATTCAGGAATATCAAAGCCGCCCCAAACGTGGACTCTTTAATTTTCAGAGACTTGGAGGGAAGGATGGGGGGTTGACATTCAGGGGTGTATTTGACAAGGACTCCGTGACCCAAGAAGGAAGGAACTATCCCAGCCTGCACTCAGCCCAGCTGATGGATCAGAGACCCTCTTAGAGGAAGGAGGTTGTCTGCTTTGCAGTGTCAGTATCCTTACTTAAAGTTAGTTTATAACAAAACAGTAGCTAAAAACGCCTCTGCTCTAACTTAGACTGGAAGTGTTGATTGAGCTGCTTGGTCTGTTGGAGAGAAACTTTGTTTCTGTTTTTTTCCTTTCCTTTTTACTTCTGTTTTAAGACGCAATCGATTAGATATAATCTGAAAAGTTGAGCATTTCCCCTTAGACCACTTCAAAGCCTAAGTCCTTTTTACTTGCCACATCCTTGAGGTGTGTCGGTGGAGAACCTTTTGTAGTCCCCCAGCTAAGTCTGCCTTGATTGGTTGCTTCTGGTCCCTCAATCAGACTTTGTTATGGAGGAAAGGTATTTCATGGAAGATTCCAGCGTGAGGTCCTTGAGGTCCGAGAGGTTTTTTCCTTCCTTCCTTCCTTCCTTCCTTCCCTTCCTTCCCTTCCTTCCCTTCCTTCCCTTCCTTCCCTTCCTTTCCTTCCTTCCCTTCCTTTTCTTTCTTTTCTTTCTTTCCTTTTTTTTGTGGGGTTTTGGGTCACACCCAGCGACACTCAGGGTTTACTCCTGACTCTGCACTCAGGAATTACTCCTGGTGTGCTCGGGGGGATCAGATGGGATGCGGGGATCGAAGCCAGTCAGCCATGTGCAGGGCAAACGCCCTATCCGCCCGCTGTACTCAGAGATCCAAGAGGTCTTAAGGGACTTCCCCGTCAGGATTTAGAAAAGGAATTTTGCATTCCTAAATTTGCTTTCCCTCTTGTAGGGTGTGCACCTTTCTAGGGAGAAGATGATTGGGGTCGTTCATAATCTCTTTGCTATTAAGGTGGCAGAGAGTTTCAGAGTAACAGGGGTTTAGAGATTTATAGATTTGGCGTTCAGACTTAGAGGTTATCTGTGTGTGGTTAAGAGATGATTTAGTCTTATGGGCAGCCTTACTCTTTGCTTCATTTCCAGAGTGGCTCATGGTTCATGAAAGGCTGAGGCTGGGGAAATAGCTGGAGGGGCTGTAGGCATGCTCTGCCCAGGCATCTCTATCCCAGGCACCACCGGAGATGGTCTAAAGACCAAACACTTGGCTGAGGGACTTAAAACCATAAAATTTCCTACTTAAAATATAAAATTTAGAACTGCAGAAATGGCTCAGAAGGTGAACACTTACCTTGCCTACAACTGCACATCCTCAAGACCACATATGATCACCCAAGTACTGCCGAGGATCACTCCTGAGCAGAACCAGAAGCAGGAAATTGTGATACACACATATGCATACATACACACATGTTTGTATATGTAATTTAATGATTTTTGGTGAATTTACTATTACTATGCACCAATCATCATAACCCAGTTTTAGAATATTTTCATTATTCCGGTGACATTTCTTTTTTTTTTGTTGTTGTTATTGTTGTTTTGTTTTTTGTTTTTGGGACACTTCTGGCTGTGCTCGGAGGTTACATCTTCTACTGGGCTCCGGGCTCCGGGATTACTCCTGACAGGCTCAGTGAACCATATAGGGTGTCAGGGATTGAACCTGGGTTGGCCATGTGCAAAACAAGTGGCCTTCCCACTGTACTATGGGTCTGGCCTCTGCCTTGTGTGTTTTTGGTTTTGTTCTAGTTTTTGGACTACTCTCAGCAGTGCTTAGGGGTTTACTCCTGGCCATATGCTCTAGGGATCCTCGAAGCTGGGTCTCTTGTATGCAAAGCATGTGCTCCAGCCTGTTGATTCTCCTCCAGTCTCCTTGTGCTTGCTCATAGTTAATTCCCGTTTCTGGCCCCAGGCTACTATACATCTTTTTGTTGCTATAGATTTGCTTTTTTTTTTTTTTGGACATCTGGTATATATGGGATTGTTTAAAGTGTTCTTTTGTGTTTGGCATTTCTTAACTTAATAAAACTGAGGTATAACTTAAATACTTAAATATCATATCCAGTCTACTATTTTAAGCATACAATTCTAATTTTTTGTAAATTTTCAGAGTTGTTTAATCACCACCACAATCCAATTTTAGAACATTTCCATCATTCCAAAAAGATGCCTCATGTCCATTTGCAGTCACTCCCAGTTCCCACCCCCTGCCACAGGCAACCACAAACGTACTTTCTGTTTCTATAGACTTGCCTTTTCTGGATATTTTACATAATAAAATCATAGAATATGTGTCCTGTATTTGATATCATTTACTAAGCATAATGATTTTTTGAGATTCATCCATGATGTAGTAGCCTGTATTAGTACTTTTTAATTTTTCAATTGGATGCCAGTTGTTGGGTTTACTGTTAATACTTTTGGCTCTTTGGAGTCATGCCATATGAGTGTTCACATAAAATCTTGTTTTTTTTTTTTAATTTTTTAATGAAACACTGTGAGATACAATTACAGACTTACACACTTTTGTGTAAAATCTTGGTATTAACATGTTTTTCCCCATAAGTCTATTTAGGAGTTGAATGTTGGATCATATGTTATATATCTGTTTGACATGTTTTTGGCCACACCCAGCAGTGCTTGGTAGCTGCAACTCCTTGCTAATGTGTTGCTCTGCAGCAATGCTCAGCGGATCATGTGGCAACCTTGGGTCCCAGTATTTGGTCCAGCCCTTTGAACCATCTCCCTGTCTCCCTGGCCCCACTGTGTTTAATGTTGAAAGAAACTTGCATGTTGATTTCAAAGTGACTGTGCCATTTTACATTCCTACTGGCCATTTGTGAGGGTTCCTATTTCTCCTCATTCTTCCTATCTTACCTTTTCTTTCTTTATTGTAGCTATCCTAGTGGGTATGAAGTGATACTCATTAGGGTGTTTTGTTTTGGGATCACATCAGGCAGTGCTCAAAGCTCATTCCTGGCTCTGCACTCCAGGATCACTCCAGGCAAGGCTTGGGGGGACCATATGGGATGCTGGGAATGGAACCCAAGTCCGTTGCGTGCAAGTAAGTACTTGCTGTACTGTTTCTCTGGGTCTACATTAGGATTTTAAAATTTAATTTGAGGGTCTGGAGTACAGCAGGTAGGGCATTTGCCTTACACGCGGCCAACCTGGGTTCGAGTTCCAGCATCCTATATGGTCCCCCAAGCACTGCCAGTAGTAATTCCTGAATATAGAGCCAGGAGTAAGCCCTGAACACTGCCAGGTGTGACCCAAAAAGCCAAAAAAAATTTTTTTTAATTTGAAAAAATCTGGGCCTCCCAAGTGGAACTCATGAGGTCTTGGGACCATTTCTAGGGAGTCTCAGCCAACAGGACCATCAGTTCAATGCTAGGACTTGGGGATGTTGTGTGCTGGTTGGACCCTGTGACTCTGTGGACACCAGGACCATCTGGGTGGTGATTTGGGGCCACCAGAGCTATAGCCATTGATGTCTGCGGGTCCTGTGGGATACACTGGCAATATTCTTGGGGATGAATGGGGTGGGGTGGGGGAGTAGTGTGGTGCTGGAGATACAATAGAAGTATACTAGCTCTTAGCCCTAGTTTTGTTCTGCATTTCCCTAATGACCAGTATAGTGATTTCCCTCCCACCCCCCCTCAAGTATTCACTTACTAACATTTCAGATATTGCCTTTGGTGAAATGTCTAATTCACTCTTTTGCCTTCTAGCTTGTTTGTTTTCTTAGTTGTAGGTAGAATTGTATGTGTATTTATTCATTCTGTATATGAGTTCATCTGGTGCATGATTCCAATTTTTTTTCTTATTCTATAATATCCTTTTGTGGGTGGTTTTAGGAATTGAACTCAGGGTCTTGCACAGTATCTTTTCATATTCTCTCGTCTCTGTCTCTGTCTCTTTCTTTAAAACCCCAATTCAGAGGAGGTTTAACTTAACAGACTAGAAAGAAGGGGAAAGGGCAGAAAAGTCTCCCCTGGCATTAGATTTCATATTTTTATTGATGCCTTTTGAAGCATAAAAGGTTTTTTTTTAAATTATTATTTTGATTTTCCAAGCAGTGTGGGGGACTGTATCAGTGTACTATATCTTTTGGTTCTTGGGGTCCCATGTGGTCTTAAGGATCAAACTCAGGGCCTC